AATTTGATACTAATATAGATATATTTTTGTCAAATTTTTATGATATCTTCAAACATATATTTTATTCAAAAATAAAAACATCATCGTTTTCTCAAAATCACATAAAGTCATATTATAACATCGACTGAGATAAAAAATAAATTGAAATATTAAAATCACGATGTATCTCGCCGCATTGCGCGAGTACGCTTCTAGTATATATATATATATATATATATATATATATATATATATATATGAACTAATATAAATATAATATTAATAAATATTATAACTAAAATAACATTTATAATCAAATAAATAAAATATTTAGACATCAAGCTTACATAAATACTAAATACCAAATTTGTTGTACATTTCACCAACATCAATTGGTGTAGAATTGTAGTGAAATTGTGTGAAAATTGATATAAAATTTGGATTTTGGTGAAATTGTGTGAAAGTGTTTGAATGGATTCTCGACCTTTATCGATCGGTTTCGATGGGTTCCTGATCAGTTTCGATAGGTTCTCGATCGGTCTCGATGGGTGTTGGGTTACAGTGATTAAGACCGCGGTGTCTTTTGACGTTGAAGAAAGTGTTGAAGAACATGATGTTGAGTTATGTACTTACAGTGTCGAATTGTTGTACACACTTGAACGTACATAAATATCCATTATAAATATAATACATAAATACATAATTACCATTTCACATAAAAAGATGGTCAAAACGGAAGAAAAAAAACTATCTTAAGATGGATGTCATATCAAAGAGCATGAAATTCTTTTTTTCTAATTTATTTGATTAAAATATTAAAAATAAGATAATTTATTTTAAATTTTAAGAGGGTAAAAAAATTTGATTAAAAAAAAATAAAAGTTAAATAAGATAGGCGTGAGATTGAATCAACTTCATTTTTTATCCCTAGTCACCTTAATTAATAAATTTAATAAAAAAAATTTAATTCAATTTAAATGTATTGATCAATCTTGGATGATTCAATATATTGGTCAATACTGGATGAAGGGCCTTGATTTTGACACGTTGCAACCTCAACATCTACTCTACGACCACACATTACAAATTCCTATCTTATTATCAACATCAAATTAAACCCAATTTTACTGCTTATGGCTAAGTTAACCGAGCCCTCTGCTGCCAACATAACCCGTACGGACTCCAGTTCATGGGGTCTGAATCTCGGGTTTTTCACGTTAGCCGTTGTCTCGATTGCGGTGCTTGTCGTCCAGATCAATACGTTTGATGCCGTGACGTATCCGATGCATGAGTTTGGCAAACCGATGCTTGTAGCTGCCAGGAAGAACGCAGAAAGTCTCTCCGGTTTGGAAAAGATTGGGTTGGGCCAATTGATTGGAGCTGAGGACATCGCTTATGAATCGAAGTCGGGTGTTTTGTACACGGGTTGCGAAGATGGTTGGATCAAGCGAATCATGCTAAACAACTCGGTGGTGGAGAATTGGGTGCACACCGGAGGCCGACCTCTTGGAATCGCGATTGCTGATTCCGGTGATGTCTATGTTGCCGACGCTAATAAGGTTCGTTGGTACCTCTACCGTCTCACGATTAAATAGACACATAGTTTTAGGGATGTATAATTAATACACTTTTTAATTAATTGGATAACAACTTTACCCTTTTACATAAAGTAATTAGCATCTCCGTCTCATAATTAAGGGTAAAATTGGAAAATAGGCAATTACTTTTACATGTGGACATTTATTTTAAAAACAAACTAAATAAAAATGTGGGTATTTATTTTGAGGCCAATGAAGTATTTTATATCGATGACTTTGTGATCATGTGAGACCAAGGGTTTTTCATGAAACCCGTACGACCAATTCTCAACCATTGAATTAGATTTATAATCTAAACATTCATAATAACAAAATTGTCACGAGACTTCTCAATAATCACAAAATTGTCACCGTGCAACTTTAGACTATTAGATCATTATGTTATAAAGTTGATCAATGAACATAAATTGGTCTCACGTGAACCCAACCCTTATATCGATTGAATGAAAAAGAATCATAAAACATGTTTTTTATTATTATTATTTTAGTAGATTAATTGTTCAAGCTTTGGATTTGCTCCACATGTGTTTTAAGACGTTCTTGCAAGCCTTTTAGACAATATTTGCTTGCAGGGATTGCTTAAGGCAAGTAGAGATGGCGAGTTAGAGTTATTGACAAGTGAGGCCGATGGTGTGAAGTTGGGATTTACAGATGGTGTAGCAGTTGCAAAAAACGGAATGGTATACTTCACTGATGCAAGTTATAAGTATTCCATCCATGAAGCGATATACGACTTTTTAGGGGGTAGACCTCATGGTCGACTTTTGAGTTACAATCCGTCAACAAAACAAACAAATGTCCTTGCCCGGGACCTCTATTTTGCTAATGGGGTCGAACTCTCACCAGACCAAGATTTTGTTATCTTCTGTGAGACCTTCATGTAAGATTATTGTCTTAACACCTTTCTAATTCAATTATATGACATACCCGCTAATAACCCTTAAATTAACTGAAAATGTTGTGGATTCTTTTTTGTAGTCCACCAACTCAGACTTATAACGAGTTTGGTCAACATGGGTCCATTTCACTTTCGTTTAAGGATGTTTATTATGTTTAACTTGTTAATGTAGGATGAGGTGTTCTAGATACTACTTGCAAGGAGAAAAAAAGGGTTCTATCGATGTTTTTGCTGACAATTTGCCCGGTTTTCCTGACAACATACGATATGATGGAGATGGACGTTATTGGCTGGCAATACCATGGGTAACTTATTTTCCTACGTAATTTGAATACGAATCTTATATATGATTTCATAAATAATGTGTAGAATTATGTATGTGTATGCAGGACAATTCACTTTTAACGAAATTTATACAGACGTATCCGTTTGCACGCAAGATTCTTACCTTTACATTGAAGCACCTACATAAGATGCCTGAGTTGATGAAGTTTGGTGGAGTCATCGCTCTGGATTTGGAAGGAAACCCGATCGGAGGTTACTATGACGACACATGGAAAATGACGACATCAGGGGTCAAGATTGGCGAGCACTTGTATATGGGATCCATCACGAAATCACACATTCTCCGTCTCAGTCTTGCTCAAAATCCTCTTCTCGTTACAACCTCATGAAGGGCACTATTGTAATAAATCAAGGGAGGAAAAACGATATCTATATATTGTATTTTGAATATCGCAATTCGTTTCTATAAAAATACAATAGTATTTGGAAGGATAAAATACACATAAATTTAACATATTGTAATTTTGGTACGAACATGAAAATCATAAATGAGATATTTAACTATTAAGAATGTCTTTGTTTGCGCTCCAACCTCTGAACATCTCAGTCATCATATCCTTTCATTTCATTTACTGCTACAACCAGTTAGATATGGGTCAGTTTAAGGCAAAAAAAATTAAACATCTTAAACTCCATTGATTATACAGAGTGGTAACAATCCCACGAGTTTGCACTACCTGCTTATGACCCACTCGTCTTAAAAATAAAGGCAGTTTCATTACGGTAATATACAAGCCAACTACCTGTTCTAGAAAACTTTAAGTTTTAATAAATCAAATCATATTTATATTTAAAAACTAATTGAATATTTTTCATATAACCACCAAATAACAAATAGATTTCATACCACTTGAAAGCCTAATTACAATAATTAACATCATTGCTAAACGAATGATCGTGTGAGAATAAGAGTTAAGAAAATTGATCTACTTATCCGTTGATCTAGTAGTAGTTCTGTAAGGAGGAGATAGGGAGAAATAGTTGTTCCTTTCCTCCCGTTGATGAGATGAAGGGTGAGTAAGTAACATGAAGCAGAACGAAGGTTCGATGTTCCTCCTATTGTCTCCTTACCCAACAACCCATTATTTAATGTAACAATTTAAAAAATTAAATATTTTATATTTTAATTTTCGAAATTTGAAAAACAAAAATTATAACATTTTTTTAAAAATACAATAAAGAAATCGTTGGTGTGTAAAAAGCAAAAGTGGATGTACGTTTATACACCTCCATGGCAATTTGAAATTTCAAAAAGAATCTATCTAATCCCTTCTCTCTCTCTCTCTCTCTCTCTCTCTCTCTCTCATCTGGAGTGGATATGGGTTCTTGTTTCAGCAAGAACAACACCACTGCTGCTCTTACGACTACTTCCCAACAATTGGAGCTCAAATCCAACCCTCCACAACCCCAGAATCCGAAGACCGAACAAGTTGTCAAGAAGGAGATATTCGTCATCAAGCACCGAATAAGTCACGAAATCGACAGACGCCCAAATGAAGACGACCCTAATCTGTTAAACCCTAGTGCCGTTGCCGGAACTGGTGGAGGAGCTAGGGTCAGAACTTCTAGCTGTAGTAAAGAAGAGGTGGATGCGATTCTGATTCAATGTGGCAGGCTTAGCCGGAGCAATTCCGCCGGAGCTGAAAACCCTAGACGAAGGAGGAGGTATTCTGGGTCTAAAAGGAGTTTCGATTTTGATTTGAATATGGGTTTGAAGAATGATGATGACGATGGTGATGATGAGGCATTGAACCACCACCACCGCCGCCGGCACAGGCAGCAGGGTTCTAGGGTTTCGTCTCCTTCTTCTAGAAGAAGCAGTAGGGAGAGAGATTTCCGGCAACAAAGATCTGGTAATGGTGGAAGGAGAATAAGCATATCTCCCAGTAGAAGATCTGAATCACCCATTTGTAGTAATTCAAATGGTGGGCCAGCTGCGGCAGCGGCCGGTGGTGGTAGCACTAGGCCGATGAAGATGGTTCCGGTTCCTGCTACTGATAAGAGTAACAATGTTGGTGGCAACGCTGGCAGCGAACAGGTGGTTGGTGGTGGAGTTAAGAGGATTCACGTGAAGCGAAATGTAGCTGTGGTTTCCAGAACTGCAGCGTCTCCTCCGCGTTCTAGATCTCCGGTGAGGACAAACCTCCGGATTCTCAGTGACGATCAGAGCCAAGAACAATGGCGGCAGGAAATAAATACGAGGGTGGCTGGTCATTCGCCTTATAAACGGAAATCATTGGCGGAGATTGATAACAATGCAGCTAGATCCGTTCAGGCTAAAATGGTGGATGAGGCTAAAATGGTGGCAATGGTTGAAAATCTAAAGCTTCATCAAAACATAAAAAGAACCCAGATTTCCCGGCGATCGGAAGACCTAGATATGAACCCAGAAACGATATTTGACCCTAGTCCACCGTCTTACACTAGTTTGCTTCTTGAGGATATCCACAACTTTCACCAAAAGAACACGAATTCAGCTGCCATAGCTGCCGCCACTGAACCACCACCATTCTCCCTTCCAGCATGCGTTAGTAAGGCCTGCTCGATTATGGAGGCTGTGGCTGACCTCAACTCCAACTCCAACACCGCCACCACCAGCTCTTTGTTTTCTGACGACAGCTGGAGAAACCCAACTCCCATTGAACGTTATATCAACAAAGACAGATTTATAGAATCTGAGACGGTGGTTAACGGCAGCTTGATGGAACCAAGCCTTCAGAATTACATAACGGTGAGGAGGGGTGGTTCCGCTACTACAGAAGAGCAAGAATCCTCCGATAGCAATAGCTTTGCCAGTAGCCAACGTTTGAGCCGGAAATCTCCTTCCGTGGAACCAAATTCAGCCAATCTCACAACCCGAAAGTGCGAAATGAACCCGTTAGGGGATTTTCAAAGCAAATTACTTGATCGTCCTAGGAAGGGAATAGGACGTGGTCGTAAAAGTGCCTACCCAACGCCCGAAATAACAACCATTGCGTCAACGTAAACGATAAGCACATTTGTATCATGGGTTTGCATACTTCCAAACCATTTCTGTAGTTTTTTGGTAATTAGGTGGCCTTTGGTTTGCATAATGGAATAGAGTCTAATGAATTGAAATCAGAAGGAATTGGAGTAGAATTTAACAGGAATTGGAATGGATTCTTGTTTTTCAATATGTGTATCAGGCTGGCAAGATTGAAATTTATATCTATCTACAACTGTATTTCAATATGTTTTAATGATAACATAAAAGTTCCACTGAAAAATCCAATCTTTTACGCAATATTTTCTGGAAAGAATCGTTATATACCTGTTGGAATCTGTACTCAACGTGGTTTTAGTCGACGTTTCTTCAAGATATGAGTATGCAGGCAAACTTGAGAGCTGTATCGATGTTAAAGAGCCAATCTTGAAGACAATATTTCCATTCATTCGACTGCATTCTTGTAGTTGACCATGTATATGGCGGCCACAGTAACAATGGCTCCAGTTAGTTGAATCGGCGAGAAGGTCTCACCTAGATATAGGAAACTGTAAATCAAGATGAAACAAATGAGGAAACAAACCCATAGAAGTAACGCAAAGATATAAGAGCAGGATTTGCATTCTTCTACATGATATTTGTTTAATTTCTTCCGAGACCATGGTACGTGACACCTTATGACCAACTAAACATCATCTCACGTGGACTAGGAAAATTTTAGGCTTTCATGTGTGAATATGTGGAAAGCCATTATATTATTGTCTAAAAGAGTCGTTGAGGAGAGAAGGGGGTTCCAATATATTGGAAAGAAATGGCCAAGTCTAGCTCGAGGGAATTTAACATGCTCCCTCCATCATAGGCTAGACAGGCACATGTTGTCTCAAAGCAAGTCCTAGAGTGATAGACATTGGCTCTAATACCATATTAGCTTGGTTGAATTAGGGAAAAACGATGCCTCATGAAGAATCGTGTTGGAATATAAACCCCACTAGGTGTTATCAGTTCCTTAGAGCATATCCAACAGTTATGCTAAAATACGATTTTGGAGATTTAGGGTATATTTTTGCTCCAATGGCTATGTTATAACGTATGACAAAATAGAGAAAAGAAAAGAGAGGTAGAAATCTCCAGATTTTGAAAAATCTCTAAGACACTATACCAATAGGAGACATTGAAATTAAGTGTTTAGGGGAGATAATATTTTATTGAATGCATTGAATATTTTAAGAATGCAGTTAATGATATAAATGCTAAAATAGAATATATGTTGGAGTGGATGTAATTCTTTTTAGAGATATTAACTTCTGATACTCTATTTTAGAAAAATTATAACATAGTTGTTGAAGATGCTCTTAGGCTCCCGTAAATCTAAGGTTTTGTATGGCCATGGGAGGTTTTGCCTTGCATGGACCCCATAGACTAGTTAGGTCAACGATTCCAAATACCACAATTAGAAAACAAAAAGAAACAAATTTCCATAAACAATATTTTTTTTTAAGTATATAACACTTGTATACGGCAAAATCTCACACCCTCCTCACCTCTGGAGAGGTTTGATCCCTTGACCTCCTCGGAGGTTGGGCCTACAGCCCACTGGGCCAATGACCCTTTGCTTTACATGAACAAGTCGAAACTCAATCTCGAGGGTTGTGGCGTAGTGGTTGAGGCCCAGGGGGATGCGGTGGTATATCCCGTCTACCCTCGGTTTAATTGCAGGCGTTCACAACAATGGTTGTCATTGAGCTTATCAGGGTTGATGTCTTGCGGTCACAATTTGCCGGAATTAGTTGGGGCATAGCTTTGGACACCCTTAAAAAGAAAACAAGTCGAAACTCAAAATTTGAACTTACCCAAAAACCGAAGCAAACATTGGAGTTAGAAAGGTAAGAGAGCTAAGCTTTGTCAAGCTACCTGGTAAAGTATAAAGAATGTAAGATATTGGTATCTATGAAATAAACAACGAAGATGGAAACATGATCAAATGGAGATTGACCTCTTGTAGCATTGAAGAAGTATAAACCATAGCTGATGGCGCTGCCAAACACGGATGTATACAGAAGGGCGAAAAGGTCATTTGTCGTGAGCTCATTCAATCCTCCATTAACAGCAGGATCATGGGCAAGAATTGACAACGCTGCCAATGGAATCCCACCAAGAACCATGTGCTACAAGGAAAGATATTTCAATGGAATTTAATCTTATGAAGCAATAGATGAATCAACAAGTACAACTAGGAACAAACACTTTTGGTGCAAATACTGGTGAAAATATGTTGTGAATGCCAACCATTTACTCCATTGATGTAAATGTGATTATATCTCTATAGATACATGAGTGTGTTTGGTACGTAGATGAGACTGGACACGACTGGATTGGCGAGAATAAGGTAGGCGGGTAAAAGAATTGTGCAGGGTTTTTGGTTTTAACTTGACATGGGTGGTTTAGTAATTTACCAATCTTGTCTCATGATTCTTGTTCCACCTATTTTGGTACATTTTTGTACCACTCCATCTTGTCTTGTCTTGGTCTAAGGGTCTAAGGGTCTAAGGGATGTTCGGTTGGTTTTTCATTAAGTTCTGTATGAATAAAGTTGTTTGTATGGATTAATCTTTTCTGTATAGATTGAGAAGATTTTTGTTTGAGGGTTTTTTCATAAATGAAATGAGCGTGTTTTTTTAATTGGAAGTGACAAGTTTTGGAAAAAACTTGGCTTTATGCATAAAGCTTCCGACTAGAAGCTTACTGAATAAGCTACTTTTTATATCATTAAGTCACTACCAAACAATCATATGTATAGCTAATTGAATAAGTTGTGAATCTTATTAAGCTACTAACAAACAGGCCTTAAATGTCTCACCAACATGAGACAACAAGTTTTTGTTCTATCCTACCTCATCCAGTCCTGCATACCAAACATACCCATATAGAACATGTTTACGAGACTCCCTCCATCCCTGATAAAGACAAAAATTTCCATTTACGGGTCACCATTAAAATTGCAATGTTTCCTTTTGACCGACTTTTAAACTAAATTTACACATTTGTCGCTTGTCCTGATATATATAATGCTTTTGATTTGGGTCTACAAGATTATCATATTTTGCCAATATTGAATGTTATTGAATCATTGCGCCTTACGTGAGTTCAAGTCTCCTTACAGACAACAATTGTATCTATCAACTTTTTTAACCACTTCCAAAAAATAAATGAGAAATTTGACAGAGGTTTACTTACCCATCCAGTAGCCATAATAGGATCTGAATATTTGGAAACCCATCGGACCATAACTGTACCAACCGCCATACTTTGAGCAGCTAGAAGCATCCACCATTCCCCACTTCCCCATAACGAAAAATTATTCTCATCAAATGAAATAGCAGGTAGCTGTAACAACCAATTCAACATTTATCAACGCAATTTTACTAAATATGACTAGTTTATCAGCTAACTTATCAGCCAAGAGCTAGCTTATATGCTAGTTTGCTATCCAAACACTAATGAAGATTAAGAAATTAAAGTTAGCAGGTCTTCATAATTCTGTATGCCTAAAGAAAAGCTGGAAATGGTCAAGAAACAAAATTCGAATGTCAAATATGATGCTTTTGGAGGCAAGAAATGAGGTTAAAAAGAAGAATCAAAAGGGTTTAGAGAGATTGAGAACTTTTGATATTAATATACCTCAAGAAGCAGAAGGCCTACAACACCAAGAACAAGGCCTGCAATTCCAACTAAACCAATTGATTCACCATATATCAAGGAAGCAAGAACAGCAACTGTCAAAGGTTGTGAATCAATTATAACCTGCAATAGCAAATCAATGTATCTGGTCAAACTTAAGGCATGTATAAACACCCTTTCCTCTAACTCATCTACTATACCTTAAACCAGAATATTCCGTTTAAAAAAGGAAAAACTGGGATGCCAATCGTTAGACAAGACAGCGGGAGAAAGACCACTGTTATAAAACTTTCAGCTAACATGGAGCAATCTTAGCACTTTGTTAAAAAGGAAAAACACCAAGAAGATAGATGATACTTGTAAACTATGGACTCATATAAAAGGGTAAACGGCCAAAGGCTCTATTGAAGAAGTTCAACAATATTCCCAAATAATTTTATGGTTCCCACCATTATGGGCTCGACTGAATTTTCTCTAGCTGCCATGTTCTTTTCCACCGAATGGTGCTTTTGCCCATATCACAAGCTCTAGGTACATTAGCTATACCAGACCAGACACACTTTCTTTTTTTTACTATTTTTTGACTGACCGGATCGGTCACTCCTCAACCAACTAAGGTTTTTTGAGGGAAGTAGGGCTCTTCGGGTGCGTTTGGCATACGGACATGCTTGCACGGAACTGGACTTGCGAGAGTGAGGTAGGCGGATGAATGAGTTATGGAACGTTTTCAGGATTCACGTTAACATGGGTAGTTTAGTAATTTACCGATCTTGTCTCATCTTGATATTTGGTCCACCTATTTTGGTGGGAGAAAGAAACTCATTTTTATCCCGGTCAGTCATGTCCCAGACTAATTGTAGAGTCAAATGTGGGACAAGTTTTTATCTAGTCCTGTCCCGCATACCAAATCCACTTTTATTGACTAAAAGTGGATTCTTCACTTCCGGTAATGTACCAACAAGGGAAAGAAGGTGTTATTAAAAGGATGTACTTCCAGCTTGGGAAGATTGAGTCTTTTCGTCAAGATCACAAGAAAGGTAACAAAAACAGGTCTTTCAAGTTTAAGCTAATGGCCTACGAATTATCGACCATTTTTTTTCAATTAAAGACCAATAATGCAAAATTAGATATTGCTACTTCTTACCTATGATGAAAAACAGTAATCAAATAAATGCAAAGCAACTTAGCCATAGAAAACATACACTGCCAAGACCAGCCGCTGTCTTTTCCAATCCTTTGGCTAAAAACCCCTGAAATGAATCATCAAACACATTCAAACTCCCTACACACCCAAGTAATTCCAACAGCTGGCTTCACTTGCTAGTTGATAAAGATGTATGCCTATTAATTTTTTGAAAATATTACAATAATCCTATTATAGAAATTGCCATTCCCTCTTTCCATCAAAAAAATTGCAACAATATCCACTTTGAAAAAGTCTTGGCAAAATGGTAAGTTCCCATTTCACTGGAAATCGCAAGTTAAAATTACCTATTTGTTTTATCATTTGAAGAGAGTTTAAATGAGAACCGTAAATATTTTGAGAACCTCAAAACAAACTATTTCATGAGATATTCATGATGATCACCCTAAAATATTCATGAATATTACTCATGATATTCATCATGAATATCTATCACCGTTATTCATCATGAATATCTATCACCGTTATTCATCATGAATATCTATCACCGTTATTCATCATGAATATCTATGTCGATATTCATCATGAAAAATTCATGAAATAGTTGGTTTTAGTGCCCTCATAATATTTACGGTTTCATTGGAACCTGCCCCTGAATGAGTAAGTGCAAATGATAAAACAAATAGGTCATTCTTTAACTCATACAAATGCAAATGCATATGATCTTGATCCAGATTCAAACTCTGGAGCGAAAGGGTACAATTCTCAGACAAGGAGATGAATAATATGATCAATTCAAACTCCAGTCAACAACCCAGTTAAAGTCTAAGAAACTAATTAACCTGAAAACAAGTAGCATCAACAACAGCAAATAGAGCAATAGATAACCAAGCATTGAGCCCAGATGGAATCTTCCTGCCACGAGAAGCAGCAAAAGCAACCAATAGTAATCCAGAAGGAATCAATCGAAAAGACGACACGAAAAGGGGTCCCGTTTTGGGCAAAACTTCCTTCATAGCCACCATAGCCGTACCCCAGAAGAAAAAAGGGGAAACCAACAACGTCCATTCCATTACTACGTTAATCAACGAAACCGTTTCTGATTCAGTAACTCCGTAATCGCCCTTTCCATCCGAGGGAACAACGCACTCGACATCAGTCCCAGTTCCAACACAATCGATTTCAGATGATGGCGAAGAACGAGTATCCAATTGGTTGTCTGCATCGGATACCCTGGTTTTGACGGTGATGAAGGAGTGATTTGAAGTTTTTCTGAGGGAGGTGAAGTGGAGAGGTGGGTTTGGTAGTGAAAGTGAGAGTAAGAATGGTTGTAGTGGTTTGGAGGCGGAAATGGAAGAAGAGAGGAGGTGGGTTTTCGTGGTATGGTGGTGGTGGCGGTGTCGGTGTCGGTGTCGGTGTCGGTGGGAGGTGGTCTGTGAGGATGGAAAATAAGAGGAAGTAGCGGAGGTGGAGGTGGAGGTGCCATGGCAGCTGTGGAAGGAAGAAGAAGAGGGGAAGGCCATTTTCTTCCGGTTGATTAACGGACTGTTTTTAGACCAATGTTTTGGTGATTGAAATGAGTTGGAAAAAGTTACAAAAATCATCGTTGGAAAATTGGAAAGTTTACAAGTTTAGTCCATATCAAATTGTAATCTATAAGCTAGCGTTTGATACGCGGACAGGACAAGACATGACAGATTTGAATAATATTGGATAGGACAAGAGGGTAGGACTGGACGGGACTGGACATTACTGGATGGGACTGGACTGGACAGAACAAGTGTATGTCTAGTGTTTGGTACGACTAGGACTGGACGGGACAAAACCAGACAAATTATCCTCAAAAGTTATTTAATGATTTTAAATATTATATAATAGTTATAATTAACACAAATAAAGTAAATAATTAAATAGTTTAATTTATAAAAAAATTACATAATGCATACATACATACATATATATATATAATGATATCGAATTTAAATGAAAATTTTGATATAATTGATTGTACTAATAGTGGTGGCGGAGGTATTTTGGTTATGGTGGAGATAATGGTGGCCAACCATAGTAGTGGCAATGGGCGATGGTGGTCGGTGGGCGACGGTGTTATGAAGGTAGAGGTAGAGATAGTGGTGGTTGGTGGACAACGGTGGATATAGAGGAGGTGCAGATGGTGGATTGTGGTGGTGGTGGCGGTTGACAACAGTAGAGGAGGTAGTTGTGGCTGATGTAGTGAAGAAAGTGGTGGTGGTGGTTATGGTGGAGGTGAGGTGGTAATGGACGGTGGTGGTCGATGGTCGACGATGTTTGTGGAGGTCGTGGAGGAGGTTGTTGCAGTAGAGGAGGAGTTGGAGGTGGCCAATGGTGGTGGCAATGGATGGTGGTGGTCGGTGGGTGATGGTGGTTATAGAGGTGGCAATTGACAGTAGTGATCAGTGGTCAGCGGTGGTTGTGGAGGTCATGGAGGAGGTTGTTGCGATATATGAGGAGTTTGATGTGGCCAACGGTGGTGGTCGGTGGCCGATGGTGGTTATAAAGGTGGCAATAAACGGTGGTAGTCGGTGATCGACTTTGGTGAAAGAGGTTGTTGTAGTATAGGAGGAGTTGGAGGTGGCGAACGGCGGTTTGCATGTGTTGTTTCATAGAAGAAACATCAATGAATGTTTTGTTTGTGAAAAAACACAAAAATACGTTTATACATGAAACACACACATACTCGCACACAAAACAAAACATGTAAAACAATATGAATTATAGCTTAAAATCAAACTCATTGGATGGTTTTGTTTAAATTATGACGGGTTTGGTTTTTCGCATGTGTTGTCTCATCTATGAAACAATACGTGAAACTGGTTTTCATGATTTATACATTTAGCAAGTTTCTACTTGATGTTGGGTCTCTGTGTGTGTGTGTGTGTATGCTCATCGATCAATAAGGTTAATTCGGAGAATCTAAAGTTTCTCTCAATTCTATTGTAAAAACGTTTGATATATAAAATTTATGTTATAGTAGGTTAAAAACTTCTGAACACCGTGGTTAAAAAGAATTTTTATTCTAGAATCGAGTCATGTGTCCAGGTTAAAAACCATTTTTTATGCATATTACTTAAAAATTCAATATTACAAGTGTCTTGCGTAAGTACAACTTATTAATGCTCTATTTTTTAATTCGTGTAACTAACTGTAGATAAACATAATCAAATGCAAGATAAACATCTATTCTAAATATAGAAAATCTAAAATATAATTAAGATAATAATTGAGTTTTAACAAAATGTTTAATTATTATCTTTATAAAAAAACTAGAAGGGTACTTGCACAATGCAGCAAGATACATCTTAATTTTGATGTTTTGTTTTATTTTTTTTTATCTCAGTCGATGTTATAATACGGTTTTATGTAATTTTGAAAAAACATTAATGTTTTTAATTTTTAAATGAAATATAAATATGAACATATCATTATATATATATATATATATATATATATATATTAATATTAGTAACAAACTAATTATCTAAAATTTCTCGTTTTTTCTGTATTTCTTTAATTTTTTTGTTTAATAATATAATTTTTTATAAAGATAATAATTAACTATTTTGTTATAACTCAATGATTATTCAAATTATATTATAGAAATTTCATATTTAAATTGAGATGTTTATCCCCTATTTGATTATATGTTTATCTGCAGTTAGTTACACGAACTCAGACATTAAGCTAAATAAGTTGTACTTATACATAATCTACTTTTAATCTTGAATTTTAAGTAATATGCATCAATAAACAATATTTCATATATACAAAGTTATTTTTAAGAGTTTTTGACAAATGTTTATAATATAGTATAGATTGTATTATTAAACTAAAAAAATTAATTTGTTACTAAATCTAAATTAAATTATAATAAAAAATTGAATTAAAGAAGTTACACCAAAAAAACGATAACTATTAAATAGTTAATTTGATACTAATATGAATTTATTTTTTTCAAATTTATATTTCATTCAAAAATAAAAAAATTATTGTTTTCTCAAAACCACATAAAATCATATTATATCGATAGAGATATAGCATAAAAACTAAACATTAAAATCGAGATTTATCTCGCTGCATTGCACGAGTACCCTTCTAGTATTTCAAAATACATATGATGAATCTCTTACAAAAATGCATGTGTTTGTCAGAAATCACATGTATACTATTTTTTGACTGTGTATAGTGGTTGTGAAAAACTCATGGGTTTACGGTATTCGTTTAACCTTTTTTACATAGCATGAATTATATGTGATTTATCATACTTATGCAGTTAGATTCATACAAACATGTAAAATTCACTTGTCTTTGTTCATACGACAATCCTCATGAGATCATCCAGTCATGTAATAATCTAATTCTCGTTGTCAGGCCTGTCAATTGGGCTGTATAGGAGACCTCCAAACAGGGCCCCAAAAAATATGGGGCTTAATATTATATTTTCTTTTAAAGCCATGATATATAGATTACATAGCCCAAAATCCACAGCCAACTTTCTTCTGGTGTACGTCTACCTTGTTATCAAGAGCGCCTTTTCAATCCTCTTCGATCTTCTATTCCTGGTTTGACGATTGAAATCCCCAAAGCTGCGTAACTACGAGTTTCTATTGGTTCGTCATTCTATCATTGATAATCCAACGACCCCGTCAAAGGTTTCATACAAGTCTCAGTCGAAACTGATTCTTAAAGTGTGGTATGCATTCTATTAATCCTTATTCCTTCACATCAACATCTAATTTGGTTTAATCTCTGTTAACATCAACAACAGTGAAAGGTAAATTCTATTCCATAAACTTGATTTCTTGTTGCAAGACTTGATTAATCTTTTTTGCTATTTATGTGGTTAAATCGATTTGGCTATTCTTGTACGTTAAATTGTTAATTTTTAAAATTCAATTTCTTTTGTATCTTCTCATGAAGAGGGCTGCAACACTAGAGCTATTAGAACGTTAATTCGATTTCTTTAAATTCGATTTCATATTGTTTAGGTCTAGAAATGAAAATTTAGCATGTTGGTTTAGGTTCAAAAATCATAATGTTACAATTGCTCTAGAGAAAGGGATTGATTAGAAACAAAGTTCTTTAAGGAAGATTGATTTCAAACCTTCCCCAATTTCATGATTCTTAAGGTTTCAAAAGTTTTGCTTTCAAGTGATCATAGCAGGACAAATTCCCCATTTTTTTTGCCAAATGAAATGTTACGTCATCGAATATACATTAGGTAGGGACCTGCCATGTCATAGACATTTCCTGGACGTATAGGTTCACAAAGAGTTAACCGCCCATTCGGGTTGTGTCGGTGTCTCCCCAAGATGTGACATATCAAGCCGAAATCCCATACCCCAAGTAATGTACCATAGAAACATGTTACCCAACCCCATAACATAAACATGCGATTTATAGTTAATAACTGTAAAACATTTAGCATGCTTGCACCATAAACTGAAACACCAAATTCAAAAATTATTTCTTATAATTTAAATGCGGGAACCCAATTAATTAATACCCTTTATAATTTAATGTCCAAAACTTAACCAACTTAATCGAAATATCCCGATTTATTTATATTAATCCAAGTAAATAAATGAGCCTCAAATCTTTTTTTAATAAAAAATCGATTTTATCAAAACGAATCAAGTTTAACCGAACTCGACTGAAACAAGTTAGCCCCCGCCCAAAACCTGGTCCAGCACCGACCGGCCCAACTCGACGCCTGACCTAATCCGGTCGCACCCTTGGTGTGGCTATCGTGAACGAGCCCTATTTGGGGTCGTTTCTTGACCCTTTTTTTACCAAAAAATTTACAAAATTCTATAAATAATAACAATCCCAACTCATACCTAAATTTGCAGCCCCTACGATCCATTATTGAAATCATATGAAAGGAAGTTTTAAAAACTACTAACCTTTATGCCAATACTCAGGTTTTGAAGAAGATTGCAGGATCAAACCAAATTCTTCAATTTCCAGATTAAATAAAGAAACTCAACTCCTTTTTCTCTCAAAATTTCCAAATGAGCCAAGAAACTTGCCTCATACCCACTTCACATCATATGCATATATACTCATATATTAAAATCATGCATATATTCCCATGCATGAAAATATAAATACTCACACATTAAATTCATGTAAGTATGTATCCACGTAAACAATTAATCACATAATAAATATCTCGGGTGATAACCAGGACCCGGTTATCACAATTATTTTGGTCCCTTCTGCTTTAAAGTAGAAATTAATTCAGGGACGAAAATAAGAATAAATTATAAACTGACGAAAATGACAAGTTGTAACCATAGAGATGGAAATCAAATTCTTTAACAAGTTATAGGGTGGGCTTGATACACTGGACAAGATCATACAGAAAGATCATAATAAGAATCCTTGTTCCATGTCTGACAGAACTTTTATGTGAAACAAACAGGAACAGAGTGAAACAAAGTGGAACAAGCATGTTCTACTCCTACCTCATGGAACAAGATGAAACAGACTTATATTACCAATATAACCTCAAAATATAACTCAATTCTCTTATAGAACATTAAATAAGTCTCTTTTTTACATTTTCTTCATTCTTTAATTTTTTACTGTATTCAAAATATTATTTTTATACGGTTTCTTTTTTATTAATTTATGTATTTTATTATTATTATTAATAATAA